AAATTGGGAGATTTCATAGACAAAGTATTACATGACATTCTGTTAATCAAATAAACTGCAGTGGCATAGGCATGGAACCAAAATTGGGAAGGTAATTTGGAGGTATGCATATGAGTGAAGGTAATTTTGAATCATGAATTTTGGTTGAGAATCGAGCTCAAAATGAGCTCTAGAAGTCTTGCGTTCCAAAATGAAAAAGTGCAGTTTTTTGCGAGGAAGAAGGAAAAAAAAAGAATCTGTTAGGCCAGCCCAACCTTTAAACCATTTCAAATTGGACCTAAGCCATTTAATTGGTTTAGGCCTTATGTTCAAAATCGATTAAGTCCATTTAGTTTTAAGTTGGGTTTTACACTTAAACTAGATTAAGTCCAAAACTTATTCTAAAAATATGAGGATGCTTGTGGGGTTGAGTAGGCCACGATGGTATATTCAAACACCCAAATTAAGCGACGTATGAGAAATTGATCCTAGGTTTTGTATATGTGCTATCGAATTAACGTTAAATTAGTTGTTTCACATATTGGTGAGACGTTTCTGGAGAACGAGCATAGACAGGCAAGACACGGGGGCTACGACCTAGCTATACCAGTGAGTGGGCTTTTCGTTATTTCTTACTGAGATTTGACATGGTATATTTGTGCAATTGTTATTTCGAATATGGTTTTGAGATATAAACATGCATGCTATTTTCTGGGAAGTATACAGGTTTTACGGCGAAGGGTTATTACCTTTCATAATTGAAATGGTTTTTGAAAAGCTTTGTTTTTGCCCACTCACACTTTCTGTTTTGCGCCCGTCCAGGTTTTAATCACTGTAAGTTTGTATCGACGAGGATTCTTGGCAAATCTCAGGATAAGTGGCTACTTCTGAGGGTATAATCCTTATCCACTATACTGTACTTGCTTATGCTCTAATGTCACGTGTGAAGTGGGTTCATTTCAGCTCACCACCGCACTCTGGTATTTAGGCACTTTTAGGTTTAAATTAATTCACATTTTTCCACACCATCACACTTGATGGCTTCGTCACATTCCAGATGTTGGCCAGCATAGCTCGATTCGAAGTCCTAGTGGGCGTTCCGGGTCGAGGTGTGTCATATGGACCGTGGAGAATAAAATTGGGCTCAACTTTGGGGTTGGGCTTTGAAGTGTACTAATTAATTGATGATTAATATATAATTAATTATCAAAAGATGGGCTCTAATAATTAAATTCTTTAATTTTTAAATAATTTTGAATTTAATTAATTAATTAATTTTTATATCAACAGACTCATCTTCTCAAAAGAAGTCTGAAGTGATGAAAGAATGTCAAAGAGCAAAGCACCCCTCTGAGAAGATGTCTTCTAACAGATACATCACATTCTCATACTTGTTGCGAACATGCATAAACCTATTATATATACATCCATTTGCACGAAATTTAGAACATAGAAAAATAAAATTCTTTTTCTACAATCCAAAACATACTTATTGAGAGAACCACAAAGAAATTTGTTAGAAGTCAAGTTTTCTAGTGCTAGAATTTCTGACTTAGATCATTGAATCCTGGTAAAGCAGACGTCCGTAGAACTACAAGCACTGAGTAGAGACGAAATTTCTGTTTCAAGAACATTGTGGTACGCAAGCTTCAATCTTCAATTTGTCTGTTTAATATTATTTCATTTTGTTCATACTTTGTTAATTTATTTATTCGCATTTATTATTTATTAGCATATATAAATGTATCATTGATTGTTGATATTTATCCAACATAGTATACGTATACATATACATATACATACATATATATATATATATACAAGGTTCTAAAAGATGCTATGCGCTAGTCGGACGGCGGTCTGGAACCTAGCGCCTAGTCGGCTAGGTAGGGCTTAGGGGGGTCTAGGCAGATTTAAATAAATTTATTATACATCGTACAAATAAGTTATTATCTATACTTAAGTGATACCTATTGTATTGGGAGACATATAAACTGCAAAATAAAGTGAACTATAAATTATATAGTATTAAAACATATTGAGAACATAGGGAACAAACATATAATGAGTGTTCATTTGAGTATTCAACAAGTCCCTTACATTTTATTGAAAAAATAAAATGCAAAAATAAAAGTTATCAATTTTCTATATAAGTGAGATTCACAACTTGGGTGGCTGGGCCTAGGCGGTCTAAGCAATGCTTGGGTGGGTTAGGCGGACGCTTAAGCAAGCTTATGAGCCATTTCTTAATTTTCAAACGCCTAAAGATTAATAAGGATGGTGGCCTAGGCTGCGCTAGGCGGAGATTTTTAGAACGGGGTGTAAATATATATATATATATATATATATATATCCGCAAATTCAAGAGAATTAAAAATCAGTTAGGGATATATATCAAATAATTGGCCCGATTACAACTAAAGCACTAAAGAAAATCAGTATAAGGCAGCACCTACAGAAACAAAACAATTAACTTAGGACCCACTCAAGCTTATCCATACAATTCTTTGGTCCTTTTTCTCTTTCATTCTTCTTGAGACGACCCAAAATTGTTCCACATTTGATTAATCTTCGGTTTCATTATATTCTGAAAATCATTCACTACTGGTTCTGCATCCACTACGAAGTCAATGTAGGTCTTTATGCATAAACGTATCTTGGTTTCCATCTCATCTAGAATTTCTGGTAGTGCTTTCATCAACCATGTCAACACTTCATTCGAAACTGGGACGCTCAAAGCAGCCTCCGTCTTTGAAATCACTGGAGAAACTACTCTCAGAATTTCAGTAAGCGTTATTATGCAGAAGCATTCATACAACTCGGTTCCATAATTGTAACCTTCCATAGTAGCCAATCTTCCCCCAATTGCTCGCATCCTCCTCTTGTTAATTTTGACCAATTCGTGAAATGCTATTCTCAGGAGACCAGTGACTCTTTTGTTTACAGCACAACTCTCCCAATTGATTACGCTCTTTTGGGCTGATAGCAAACGGCTGAACTCTTGGAACTTGTCTACCATCTCATCCGATCCTTGCGACATCAGCAACATAATATCAACAACGCAGTGAGAGAGCCGTGTCCCAATCCTAAATATATGACTTCTAAATTTATATTTCCCATCATCCGATTTTGCGTGCGGTTGCGAACACTCTTTAAGCCACTGCACAAGACTCTTTCCCCCTCCCTTGGAATTAATCCCGCAGCCAGCACTAGCCCTAGAAGACCCTTCCATATCTCTTCAATCTTGTTCTCCTGCACAAAGGAACGTCCAAAAGTAAATAAATAAAAGGAATTAACGTATATAAAAGGAAGTTCCGTAGGTTTCAAGTTGTGATGATTTAATGATTTTAAGGAATTAAAGATGTTTCCTGAAATTAGTGAATCTTAGAAAGAATCATTCCCGTACCTTCTTCCTTCCTTCCTTCCTGCGTACGTTTCTTTCCTCACCTCCAAGTGGCGTTATTTTTTATTTTATTTTTTTAAATAAACGATATTATCTACGTTAAAGTTAGTAAGGTGGGAGAGTTGGCTAAGCCTACCAATAATGTGGTTTAAATTTATTTTTAACTAGAATCAAACTTAAAATCTTTTATTGTAAAGTGGACAAAAGTCTTACGAGGCCTTTTACTGTAAAGTGGACAAGGGTCTTAAGAGGCCTATTTAAACTTGATATTGGTATATTGGCTGGATTGGGTAGGGGTGTTCTTTTAAAGGTCTGGTTCTCGTTCAATATATAGATGTGAACGAGCGGGATTTACTCGAAAGAATAGGAATTCGACTCCAGATATATATAGTCTTGCACTTTTGCTTGCCTAATCCACTCATGACATTTATCAATTCCAATTTATTTCATAATATTTGTTTCCTATGAAGAAAATTATGTCGATCTTTACTAAAAAAACGAATAATATTAGATAGACCACACTTTTAAATTAGATTGGTCTATCATCTCATGTGGCAAGTAATACATACAACTAATATCCAATCAGATATATTTATAAGTAAGTTGGTCAAAAGCCAATAAAAATTTACTATTTAGCGTTATATCAATTTTATGTTTTTGTTTTGGACTTAATAAATGATATATTTATGTATAGCTCAATGATGAATGACAGGTGAGCTTTAAATCATTATAAATAGTTATAACTTAACTCTTCTATCCTCCTCTCTCTTTCTCGCTTAGAATGTCACATGGGCTTAAGCCAGTATAAATATTGTTGGAAAAACATATCCAACGATATTAGCCTAAGGCCTCTTATTCTTGGAATGCATTCCTTTAAACAGATGAACCAAATTGCAACATTCAACAAAGAAAAATTGAATTGAAGCTTGATAATGAAATAAGACATATCACCTTAAGGAGACGATGTTGTCATCGTAATTAGCAAGTAACTTCAACCGAATATCATTCTAAAGTATCTATTCTAGAAAAACACTCCACTTTGCCGAATCATAACAGAGTAATCTCGAATATTGGATCGTATGTCACCTGATTTTGGTAGTCCTTCAAAATTCATAATTTCATTATATGCATCTGCACCGTCTGTCACCTATTAGAGCCAAACACCATTCCATTTCAAACCAGGAAATGGTTACTACAACGCAAGAATGTTTGAATCTAAATGTAAAAAAAAACAAAAAAAGAACCAGGAAATGGACACGGCATTACATTGTTTCAACCCAAATGTCAAAATGGACTCATAAGAAGCGTGTAAGTGATGAAAAAAAACGAAACCAAGAAATTGACACTGCAATGCATCCAAGAGTAAAACGAAACCAGGAAATGGACATGGCATTGCAGTGTCTGCACCCAAATGTCAAAATGGACACGTAAGAGTCGTGTGAGTGATGAAAAAAAACGAAACCAGGAAATGGACACTGCAATGCACGTCTGCGTCCAAGAGTAAAACACAGAACCAGGAAATGGATACTGCAGCGCAGTGTCTGAATTCGAATGTAAAAACTAACGCGTAAGAGATGTGTGAGTGATGAAAAAAAAATAACAAAAACAAAACTAAGAAATGGACACTGCAACGCAGCGTCCAAATCCAAAAGTAAAAACAAAACCAGGAAATGGATATTACATTGCATTGTCTGAATCTAAATGTAAAAATGAACGCGTAAGAGGCGTATAAGTGATGGAAAAAATGAAACAAAGAACTGGACACTATAAAACAGCGTCTAAATCCAAATGTAAATAACATAATGAGGAAAGAACGTTGTTGATATTTTAAAGTTACTTGAGAGGACAACGATTAAGTTGAAACCATTGAGAAAGTTGAGTGGAATGTCACTACATCACCTCCAGTGAATATGGTACGAAGCATATTTTGGAGACCATGGTTTAGCTCCCTGAATAGAGTGCACCATGTGGTCGGCCAAAGCCGTGCGATTCAAGCAGTTCTTTGCTTTGATGCACTGTATATTGTATTCCACCCATGGGCATCGTCTTACTCGTATTAAGATTGTACATTCAAACGTACCATGCCAAACGTGCTTCTTGGGAAAGTTGATTCTTAGATCATGCCCCACAAAGATGTGAAAGACTATTTTCTATAGTGGATTCAAGGGAATATGTGTGGACTAATCTAACAAAAAACCAGACCATATAAACATTATATTGGTTTTGGTTGATGTATCGACATAATGGTCACATGTCTATTGTCCACAAGTCAATGTTGCTAATCTTCTAGCACTAATTTTTAGGTTGCGAGCTCACTACCCTCAATTATCCCATAATGTCTGAGGGACTAGGATAGTGCAGAGTTTACATCAAAGAACCTTTCAATTATTTCATATCTTGTGGGATTGAAGTCAGGTCTGTTGTTTCCCATGCTCACACCCAAACTGCCTCGCAAAAGTGGTCATAAAACGGGCAATGTATACCACACCTCAGATTTTGCGCAGGGCTATGCAATCTAGGAGTAATGTTGGTCCACCTAAAGCCCATCGACACTCAACCCTTTTTTTCGCACTTACGCATTTAGATGTGTGTTTTATGTGCCACTTGTGTTGCTGCAATAATATGGGTCTTCAAAACTCTTAGGGTGTGTTTGTTTGGCATCACTAGCCCTCACTGAACTAGACTGGACTAAGTTTACTCCAATCTTGTGTTTGTTCCCTACCCATACTAGGTTTAGTGGGACTAGCAGGACTAACCTCAACTAAGTCCCTCGCTAACAGGTTTTAGCGAGACCCCCCCTCCAATTTGGAGATGACTGCTAAGCCACCCTCTAATCTCATCATCTCTCTTCTCCTGCGATTCGATCCTCGCCCTACTCCCTCCTTGCCTTGCTTCCTCATTGTCGTCCTCCTCATCCTCATCTCTGCGTCCTGCTCCCCCTCAGCTACATCCTGCTTGCCCTCATTTACTCCTCTTGTCCGGTAAACTTCGAATCCAACATTATTTCTTCGATTTGTTTTTCATATCGTGATATTATTGGGCTTTATTTGATTTAGGTGTTTTGGGTTTGAGAAATTTTCAATAAGAAACCTCTACACTTGAACAAATTGGGGTTTTCAATTTTTAGGGTTAAATTCATATTAGAATTTGGGGTTTTCACATTTTATGCCATTTTCAGTCCCAAAATGATGATAATCATCACGAAATTGTTGTTGTAAGGGCAGATGCAAAGTTAAATTTGTAATTTAGGTCTAGTTTCAACAGATTTTGATATCAAGTTGGACTAGAGTTTTTGGATTTTGGTATCGGGTTTGAGAAATAAGTTGAGTTGCATTTAGTAACTACAGTCACAAAGACACTCACACACTGTCCTGAATAAATTTCATCTTAAACCTTATGGGTGAGATCTCAATTGTTGCAACAGGTTCACAAGGTTCCAACAACTGACATGGAGGCCCTTAAACCTCTACTCATGGGTTTGTTTGAAAAGCGCCGTGCATTCAAGTTCATTATATATGTTCAAGATTATAGTGAAACTGATCCTAAAACACGTGAGGGAATGGACTTAACAAGAGTGACAACTAGAGATTTGATCGCGTAAGTGGAAGGGTAATAACCTTTTTGCAAATGAAGTCTATAATCATTCTAAGAAGAATCATAACTTGCGGTCTTTACAATCTCATTGGTACCAATGCTTTGTCTCTGTTTTCTATTGTATAGGGTTCCTTGTAGAAAAGAAAGGTGGTCTTATTGTGATAAAGTAACAATCCAAGAACATTTGTTTATATTTTTGTGTGGTTGATGTTTTGACAGAAAATATGGTCTTGATGACAACACGGTTGACTTCATTGGGCATGCTTTGGCACTTCATAGGGATGATTGCTACCTGAATGAGCCTGCTCTAGATATTGTGAAGAGAATGAAGGTAAATATTGGTCAGGGTTCATAGATGTTGAATAAGCCTGAGTGCAGTTTATGGTGGGACTTATATGTTGAATAAGCTTGAGTGCAAGGTAATCCTTACACATTTTTCTTGGTTTTAACACTCTTTCATTTTGCATTAGTTTGTGTCTAATTCCTATCTAGACACTAAGTTTAATGCATGATGCAAGTTAGAGTTCAACGAGGAAGGGAAAGTTATCGGTGTCACATATGAAGGGGAAACTACTAAGTGCAAAAAAGTTGTTTGTGATCCTTCTTACTTGCCTAACAAGGTAAACCTTTCTGAGTAAAGTATTTAAAGGTGGTGGGACGTTAATATTAGTTTTATGTTCATCTTATGCTTTACAAGTATGCATATGGTTGTTTTTATTTATAAGTTTGCAAGGGACACAATATCTTCTCTGTTCTTCTGTATCTTGCTTGAAGGGTGAAGAAAAATGCTTATTCCCCAACACTTACTAAAAATTTATCGCATTTTGACAGGTTAGGAATGTTGTTAAGGTTGCAAAAGCTATTGCCATCATGAGCCACCCAATTCCAAACACCAATGAATCTCACTCAATGCAGGTTATCTTGCCACAGAAGCAGTAGGGTCGCATATCAAATATGTGAGTTCTCTTATCTTTTGTTTGGGACCAATATTTGTTTTGCAATGAATGTCGTGTGCTTATTTGAGAAGGTCCTTTGTAACTGTTGCTTTAGAAAAAACAATCCTATGACTAGGTTGTTTTATGCTATGGCAAGGAAATGGGTTTTCTTTAATTGGAAGAAAGGAATGGTATAGTTTATATGCATACAATGTCTAAACCACAATTTTTAAATTTCTGTTATGTAATATCCTACTATCATTTCGACTCCAAACTACTACCAAAAGGAGAAAACAGTGGTATTTAGAGCAAGCCTCTGGGGAACTCGTGTCTACTTTGAACCAATAGCTTGTTGGTGGATATTTATTCATCCTGAGTTGTCCCTTTGTTTCTTTTTACTGTTTCATAGAACCATGTCTTTCATATAAGGTTTAACCAAATTTCTTGGAATTTTTTAGCAGGTTCTTGATTTCAGTGTGGACCTAAGTGCTGCAGAAGAAGGAATAGCAAAGCTGCATGTGGTGCTTGAATTGATAATTGTGCTTTGTTCCAAGTGCACTGAGCTACTTAAGTTACCTTACCTGTGGCGGTGGTAATCCTCATACCGTGGAGGATTATATGAGTTATCACTCATTTTTAATCATAGACTTGATATGTTATATATTGCGAGTATGTGTGGAAGCATGTAAACAAAATGATAACTTGTCAGAGAACTATTTCTTTCAAGTTAATGATGTGTGGAGTGGATTTGGTTCTAATCTGTTTGGTTTTTTGCCTCGCATCATTGTGGTCTTGGGATTGAATGCAATTACCATGGTATGGACTGAAATTAGCTTATACATACGAGAGCAATTCCAAGTAATTATTTCACAATTGAGTAAAAAATTGAACTTGTCAGACATCAATTTTCGTTCTACTCAAATACCTTTAACTTTAATCTACAATTTTAAACCAAAGGTGAATAATTAAGAAAAGCGTCCTGAACCCTGTCGATTGTTGGGAGAACATTTTGTTATATTCATGTTTGGAACAATGCTACTCTTAAATCATGTATGTTTCTTTCGTTGGCAAGAAAATTTGGTTTTTGTATTTTTATTGAGTCTCACTCTCATCCAATATTATTAATTTTAATAATATCTTTAATTAAAAAAAGCAATTAAAATAGAACAATAATTTATTCCTAGTTTGAGCAAACATCAAACTTGTTACAATACTGTTTTCATTATCCTATTTTTTAGTCCGACACTGCACCAAACGCTTCACTAAGCTAGTCCAGCTTAGTCTAGTCTAAGCCAGTCTAGCTTAGTCCTTGCAGCTACTCCAGTCCGAGACAGTCCAGTGCAACAAACACAGATTTCTTTTCTCCATTTTGTGGATTGTCCCTTCGATGAGACAGTCTCCCCACTGTTAAGGGAAGGAAAGAACGTCAATGTTCGTAATGAACGACGTGAATTTGCATGGACATTGCCTACTATGTCTCATCTCTATCCTCGTATCACATAGTGTGATAAGCAGGTGCGATGCACTGTAAATTTCAGAATGTTGCTCTAGACGTATTTCTCTAGTCTAGCTGAAGTGACAAGATCAAAAACACGAGCTGCAAACATGCCTGCAAGGATTGACACGCCAAGAGGGCGTTAGAGCTGCGTGCCGAAAGGGCGTTCCGCCCCTACCTGTATTTCACCAGGGTTGTTTGGTCAATCAACTGTAATAAAAAAAATAGAAAGTTTGTAATGCTTTTACCAATTTCGACCATCTATTTTATATTGTTCGTTAAGTAAATGATCTATATATTTTTTTGTTTAAAAAAAATATTTTTTTATTTTCTTTGCTGAAATGATAATTTACGATATCAACAATTCCAATTATAAACATGAAGTTTATTGTGTGTCTTGAGTGACTCCACGTCATCCTTGGGCAGGCAAGTTGAACCAAATAAAAGGTCCCAAAATTAGGAAAAATTTGCTCAAAAATTGAAAATTCCTTTTTCTCTCTGAAGTTCTGAACTCTCACGCCCGTCGCTGTCCCTCTCACTCTCTCAAAGCGCTGGCCTCTAAACCCCTACCCCCTCCCTCCCTCTTTCTCTTTCATATCTTCCTCTCTCTAGGTCCCTGGCGCTTGATTCTCTTTCGCTCAAGGTACCTCTATTGGGATTTGGATTTTGGGTCTTTGTGTTTCTTTTCACTCCCTCTTTTCACTGACTCTTAATTTTTGGTGTGTGTTAGGTTTTCTGCTGGTCAAAGGAACGGCCATTGAGTTTGAGGTATGTTGTTTTTCTCGACAATTAGTGTTGGAGGAGTGGAATTGGGTGATGTATAGGCCATTTTTGTTTGTTTTTTTTGATGGATTCAAACTTATTTATCATCAAAGCTGCGGGATGCTGCAAGTATTTTTGGGTCAGTTTTCATGGTTTGTTTGTTCTTTTGCTAGTTTAGGTGCTCATTGATGGTGTCTTTTAGTTCTGCAATCTGACATGGAAGTCCCATTCTCCTAGACCCAGTGTGGAGTGGAGGATAAATACCTACCGTTGGATTAAAGATATTAGGGCGGGTGACCACAATTTCCTTAATTTGATAACAGTTAGTCATTTAACTTTTGTTGTTGTACTTTATCCTCCGCTGTTGTATTAAGATTGAACGGTGGGTGGCCACAGTTTCCTTGTACCCTGGCCCTGGGGTCTCGGAGACATTTCAGCAGTGGACATAGCTCTACCTGTCCACCTGAACATAAGCTGCATAGTCTTGCTCAGACGATTAGTAACGTGTGCATAGTTATTGGCTTTCGTTCTTCAATTCCTTTTTTATTCTTAAGTAAAAGTTGTTAGGAAGGGCACTGGGATATGTTTTTAGGTAAACCTAGAAACCTTAAAGCTTTGTTAGTTGCTAATATATGCCAGTTCATTATGGAATATTATAGCGATTAGCTTTGGCCAGAGGATTTTGCTGTATGCTTATTTTCTATCTAATTCCCATTCATCTTTAATGACAATTAATTTGAGTGGTTTAGTATGTTGATGTTTTGCCCAGCAAAAGCTTTTACTTTTGTAATCTGGTTATAGAAGCTTTCAAGATCTCTGTCACTATGTAAGGTTTTTAGTATTCATGGTTGTGCTTTCGTGTGGATTAAAAATCGTATGATGTGCTATGTGGAATATGTATAAATGCATTGTATTGATTTATTTCTCGTAACTGGGGCTTGCTTGAGCATATTTTGATTGCTTCGAATTTTGTTCTTTTAATGTCTGTAGTCTCTCAGGAGCTCCATCCACCTACTTTCTTAGGATTGTTTTCTTTCTTTTGTTTTTTTCAGGTTTATGGGTAAAGGTTAGAGTTTGGACTTGTGCTGAAAGCAGTTAAACACAGTTTTCCTTTTGCTAGATATATAGGGTGAAAGAAAATTAAAGATCAGTTGATGGAAAACCCTAATTTCCCAACCGACATCATGCTCGACATTCTTTCAAGACTACCAGTGAAGTCATTGTGCCGCTTCAGGTGTGTATCAAAGTCATGGCGTTCTCTAGTCACCGACCCTGATTTTGTTAAAATTCACCTTAACAAAGCTTTTGAGAATGTGGAGATTTTCCATCAAAGGCGAAGGCTTATGTTTAGTGATGGGTCACATAGGTCACTCTACTCCTTGGACCTCGATGAGTTTCTCAACCATAATGATGCAGTTCATAATTATCTTGATGAAAAAGAGAATGACAATGATATTAATACCAATGATGATGATGATGAAGCAGTGGCCACTGAGCTCGACTACATTTATAGTGAAATCCCAAATAATTGGGTTTTCATGGTGTTTCACTGCAATGGCTTGTTGCTGTGCCAGTTATATAACTGGGAGTTCTATCTGGTTAACCCAGCAACAAGGAAATCCAAGAAACTACCAGATATTCCATCTTCTAGCATTGCGTATTATTTTGATCTCTTTGGTTTTGGATTTGATCACTCCACTGATGATTACAAGATGGTTGATTTGCGATACTTGAAAGGTGGAATTATGTTTATTGTGTACACGCTGAAAACTGGTTCTTGGCGGGAGATTCAAAGGCGATATCCTTACAAATCTGATCTCATGTTACATGGGATCCTGCTCAGTGGAGGCCTTCATTGGCTGGTGAACAGAGTTCGAGGTTCATCATCAGTGATTATATCTTTTGATTTAGCAGAGGAGCATGTTCAAGAAATCCCATTGCCATGTGATTTGGTTGACGCTAAAGGTTATATTGTCGGAGTATTTAGACAAATGCTGTGCCTAACACGTTGTGATGGGCAAACACACAATGAGTTTTGGATCATGAAAGAATATGGAGTGAGGGAGTCTTGGACTAAAGTAAGAATCTCCATGCCATATTCTTTGTTGTTACATTCAGGTTTCAAGAGGAAAAATCATGATCTTTTGGTGTTCAAGGACCGGTTGTTTATGTACAATTTTAACGGTGAAAGATTTCGGAAATTATCAGTGTCCGGATTCCCCATAGTTACTGAAGTTGGGATCTACCTGGAGAGCCTTGTTTCGCCGAATTCTTGTAGCGGAGGATGTTAGAAGATGAACTCACTCCATTAGTCCATATCACTTTCATATATGTATCTATTTGAGTACCTTCTCTCTCTTGCCAATTGTTTTTGTAATTTCCCTTTGAGATTTTTCCATGTTTAGTAAATGACTCCATAGTATATTTTGTTATTTTTATAATTTTTTTCAATCAAATGCACATGAGCATCTGGTCTCTGCAGTCACAAAGCAGTCTTACATCGCATAGCTAGGGCATAACATTCTGAAAGGAAATTTGTCTTCCCTCAACAGGTCCGATCGATTAAGGAAATTTCTGATGGTCTACTTGTGGCTGGATCATATTTTCCGGCTGATCAGTCCCATCTTAATCCGAAGAAAGCTAAAGTTTGATCTTGCACTTCCGATCCATTTCAAGCTTAACATTGCTGGTTCTTCATCATCCGCTTGTCCGGTTTAATCTCTCGAGACTATTCTTTAGAATCGAGGCCGACATGATGTATACCTCCTAGTACTGGTTTCAAGCCATGGTCCTGCTCCTCAATTTGAATCTCGGCCTCCAGTTTTGTGGTCTGATCAATGCCAAGGTCTCTAAACAAATGTAGGTTGACTTGTCTCCATATGAGTTCCTCCAGATGCTTTGTAACTGATTCACGAACTTCGTGGTCATGGTCGGAACTACTCATATCATAAGTTACTTTGTAAAGATCATTTTTTGTAAAAAAAAAAATCAATAAAATATGAGATCATGTAGTCATTAAACCATATAAAAACAGATGGTCGGACACGATAATAACATTATGAACAGTTTGTCTATTTGCCCAAGTTGATTGACTAAACATCCTTAATTTTAACAGATTTTTTTGTATAATTAATCTTTACATAATAATTTATTATATAAACGGTTTCGATCATAAATACAAAATGTTTTGAATTGATCACAAATATCTTGTTTCGAATCTTAAGGAGTTAAGCATTCCTCATACATATATACATGTATTCTTTCAGTAAACAAAATTCAGACCCACCAAATCTACAATACTCAAGCATCCCCATCCTCTTCAAAATATGCACTGTTCATGCACACTAATGGCAGAAAGTCAAAAGTCAAAGATATGACATTTGAAAATTATTCTAAAATTATAAAAAACTTGTATCTCAAGTAATAAACATCATTTACATTTGCATCATAAATTATGTGTTCCCAACTTTCCTAGGGGTTTTGCACTGAACATGCCCAATTTGCCTTAGAGAATCTCCAAATGCCTAATAAAATGGGATGAGCTGTGCCACATACGTGGAATGCCCGTTTAAATACTAGGTAAAAATACCTGGTGGAGATTCACAAGGAGAAGGTCTTGGTGCGGCCACCGTTGGTGGTGGGCCCCTCGTGTTGTGTGAGAGGGGAGTGAGACACATTGATGTTGGGTGAACATGATAAATCACGAAGGGTGAGGTAAGGATGATTTGTGTGAGTGGGTCGTATGTCCAACTGGCTGGTTCCCCATATAGAATGATCCCTTTCCTATAGAATAATGTCTAGCTCACAAGGCTATTTTGCCTAGTTAAAAGTGGTTAGGCAATTATCACTCAATACTACGATCTGGTGATATTCTTCTTTACTTGAAAGTGAGAGGTTTTAGGTTTGAATTTCGTGGATGACGAATTTAATATCAAATTAGGTTATCCATTATATGACTTAACTGAACTTTTCCTTTTTTTAGTGTAAAAATATTTAAGTACTAAAAAAATTAGGCAATTTGGGGCCTACTAATATTTTTTATTTTTTATTTTAAAAAAAAAACATATTCCTCGACACACTTTACACTCCACCAATATTTTATTTTATTAAAAGTAAAATTGCTTGACATACTTTACACTCCTCCAATATTTTATTAAATTAATAATGTTGAGTGCTGGAAAATGCAATCCCACGTCGAAAACATGAGAAAATATATTATTACGAGTAATGTTAGAGATATTAAATTTGAAGACTAAATTTACAACTTAAATGACGTGTTACCAATAGGAATGAACACGTTTATAAACTTTTAAGTAATAAACCAATCATCAACTTCCATGTCCTTTAGTTTCCAAAATTTAAGAGTAATGCTAGGTAAACAAATTTTTTAGACCATATTTACGAACTATATGATGTGTCACTAATACGAAACAAGTACGTTAATTAACATTTCAGTAATAATTCAATCACCAACGACCATGTCATATGATTTACAAAATATGGTTTAAATAGATGTTTTCTTAACACCGAGACCTTACGTGATAAAACTCAACATCTATCGCATTGTTTATGAGTTAAATTAAGACAATATCAACATATGTTGCATTGTGTATGAGTTAAGTTAGGATAACATAAATGTAGCACTCCAAAATCTTAAAATAGACTAATCAAAATACCGCATGGGTTTACGGTTCTGCCACAAACAATTGTCTAATCCTTTGAAGATGCCAATGTGCAGTGGGACCCAATTTAGTAGGAGGTACCATGCATTTTCCATGGAATCGCTCAGTTAGATTCCTATGTCGAAGTCATCTTGAACAAGTCTAGTGGTTTGAACCTTGAGCAACCACTAGGATGCCCAGCAGGAAATCGAAGAAGCATATTTTTTATTACTCAGCTTTGACTTTCTTTCCGACATGATGCATGCCTTTTACATTCAATTTCTCGGTTTTTTCTTCAATGATTTAAAATTATCCTGAAAATGAACGATTGTTATTATAATAAAATATCTAAACGGTTGTGAAAATCAACCTAATTGTTAAAACACCCGTAAAATTGACGTGTACTGTTGAATCTTCTTAAAGATTGAATCTCAATTGCCATCACCATACTCTTTGCTCTGTGATCTAAGCCGAGGTGCGCTAACAGCTCTTTTGCAATTCACAACTTGACTCTCCTCGCATTCGATTGCTCTCTTGCAGTCAGTTTGTTGCAGCCACCTTCTTTCTGCTTCAATCACCTCTAGTTTTCATATAAAAAAATCCAACAGCAAGACATACACTAAGAAGAAGAACAAATGAAAAGAAACATCCATTGCGAAAGAATATGAACAACAACTAGATTCATGCATAACCAACAGAGATAAGGTATGTCATGTAACCAACTACCTTGATTTCATTTCTACTTTACTTCTTATTTCGAAAGAGAAGTCTACCTGTTTATAATTTGGTTTATATTCAACAGACGTTTATAAAACCAGTACCAGAAGCAAACGGTGAAAATAGGAACTAGAGAAGAAGATAAATTAGTCTGCTGACAGAAGCATGGAGTTTCTTTCTGCATTTGTTCCTGGGATTGTCGGAAAATTGTTCGAGTTAACAGTTCAACCAGTTGTACGGCAAGCGGGCTATATATTTCACCACAAAAGAAACCTTAAAAATCTGGAGAGTCAGTTGGAAAACCTAGGCACTTCCAGAAACCAGGTGCAGCATACAGTCAATGAAGTTAAAAGGAAGGGTAGGAATGTGGATATTGACGTCGAGAAGTGGCTGACAAGAGTGGACGAAATTACTGCAGAGGCAAAAGAATTGTTGAAAGATGAACAAGCAGCGAAGGCAAGGTGTCTCCATGGATGGTGCCCTAATCTGTTTCTCCGTTATCAGCTATGCAAGAAAACGAAAAAAATGGTGCAGGGGGTTCTCCAACTCCATGCAAATAAAGAATTTCCGAGATTTTCTTTCAAGGCTCCCCCTCAGGAGATATGGAGCATACCCACCGAAGAGTACGAGGCCTTTGAATCAAGGGCCGCTACTGTGAAGAAAATCATGGAGGAACTGAGGAATCCTAATACCAACATGATTGGGGTGTATGGGATTGGTGGCGTGGGGAAGACCACACTCATCAAAGAAGTTTTCAGGCAGGCTACTAAAGAGGAGTTATTTGATGATGTGGTTCTTGTACTAGATGTCAAACAGAATCCAGACCTGGAAAGAATTCAGAAGGAAATTGCCGAGAAGCTTGGTCTTGATGTTCTTGAAAATCAGACCATAGCTGGAAGAGCGCGGATTCTATGCGACAGGTTAAGAGACACGGAGATTCTTGTGATTTTAGATGATGTCTGGGAAAGAATTGATTTGGAGGCTTTGGGACTTCCCCGGAGGGTATGCAAAATATTGTTGACATGTAGAAGTCGAGAAATACTATCCTCTGAGATGCGTACGCAAAAGGAGTTCGGGCTTCATGTTTTAGGCGAAGAAGAAACTTGGAGCTTATTTGAAAAGATGGCAGGTGATGCTGTTAAAGATCCCGCTATAAGAACTGTGGCAACTGAAGTTGCCCAAAAATGTGGAGGTTTGCCAGTTTTAGTTGTCACAGTTGCAAGCGCTTTGAGAAATAGGAGGACTTTACATGCATGGAAAGATGCCTTAAGACGCTTAAAAAGGTTTGGCAAAGAAGAATTGACAGAAAAAGTATACTCGGCTCTAGGGTGGAGTTACGATCAATTGGGTTATGAGGAGCTTAAGCCTTTGTTCTTACTCTGTGGAATTACTGGGAGAAACTATATTTTTCTTGGAGACTTGCTGAAATATTGTATTGGTTTTGGGTTGTTCAAGAACATCAACACGGTGGAAGAAGCACGAAATGCATTGCATTCACTGGTGGAAAAGCTTAAGGATGCTTGTCTGTTGTTAGACGGTTATGATAATACATCTGTCAGAATGCATGACCTTGTACGTGATGTTGCTATCTCGATTGCATTTAGAGATAAACACATCTTATCAGCAGCTTATGGAGATGAGTTGAAAGAATGGCCAGATGAGGGTTTCTTAAAAAATTGCAGTATGATCTCTTTCCCTTGTTGCAATATCCCTACACTTCCTGAAGCTCTGAAATGTGGAGAACTAAAAATGTTCTTTTTGTGGAGTAATGATGACTCGTTTGAAATCCCGGAGAGATTTTTTGAAGAGGTGAAAGAACTTAAGGTGTTGGATTTAACCAATCTGCGGATTCCGTCGCTACCTCCATCTCTTCAGTTCCTAACAAGTCTTCAAACATTATGTTTAGATCTATGCGTGCTGGGAGACATAGCTCTACTCGGACAGTTAAGGAACTTAGAGATTCTTAGCCTTTTGGAATCTCAAGTTAAACAGCTGCCAAAAGAAATAGGGCAGTTGAGTCGTCTACGATTGCTAGACTTGAGCGGTTGCTCTGAAATTGAAGTGATTTCACCCGGAGTTATATCTAGCTTGGAAAGACTAGAAGACTTGAGAATGGGAAACAGCTTTAACCAATGGGAGGAGGAAGGAGTCAATGTTGAAAGAAGTAATGCTAGCCTTTCGGAGCTGAAGCACTTGTCTCGGCTAAGCTCATTAGACATACACATTCCAGATGCTAACATTCTTCCGGAAAACTTGTTCTCCGACAAGCTGGAAAGATACCACATATTGGTCGGTGATGCATGGAAATGGCATGGCGTGGACGAAACCTTTAACACTCTAAAACTCAAGCTCACTGCCAGCAATCAGTTGGACGGAGGTTTGAAAATGCTACTCAAGAGATCTGAAGATTTGTACTTCGACGTGTTGGAGGGTGTTAATAATATTGTCTATCATTTAGACAGTGAGGGTTTATTTCAGCAACTGAAACATCTCCACGTTCAAAACAATGCTGAAACTACATATATTATTAACTCGGTCAACTGGAGTTATGCTCATAATGCTTTCCCCATCTTGGAGTCGCTTTTTCTTGACAACCTTGTTAGTCTGGAGAGTGTTTGTTATGGCCAACTCACAGCGGAGAGTTTCCGACAGTTAAGAATCATAAAAGTGGAAAGTTGTCACAAGCTGAGGAATCTCTTCTCATTTTCAGTCGCAAGATGCTTTTTGCAACTTCAAGAGATCGAAGTGGAGAACTGCGAAACCATGAGAGAGATTGTTGCGGAAGAAAGGGAAGATAATTTCAGTGATGAAGCAGTTGACCCCCTTGTGTTCTTTCAGTTACGATCTTTGACATTTCAGTGTCTACCCAATCTTATTGGTTTCTCCTCCAAAGGCAGCAAGCCTGTTGTTACTGCAGGGTTGGATGAACAATTAACAAATGGAGAGTTCAACATAATCATTCTGGAGAATGAGATTGGAAGGCCCGTGCAACGGTTCATGAATGGTCAGGTATGTTCGTTAGTTTCAATTTTATAGAGCGGTTGTCATAGCATTCCATTGCGTCATTCTTCGTCTCTTAAAGAAATATTTGTCGTGATCTGCAGGTTGCGTTCCCAAGCTTAACAAGCTTGATCGTGGATCAATGCGATGGTTTAAGATTCATGTTTTCATCTTCCATGGCTAGAAGTCTAGAGCAACTCAAATATCTTCAGATATCTCGGTGTCATCTCATGGAAGAGATAGTATCAACACATGAACCCGGTGAAGAAAATGCAGATAACATGTTTTGTAAGTTGGAACATCTGCACCTAGAAGATCTTCCAAACCTCGCCAGATTTTGTGCAGGAAGTTACATTGAATTTCCGTCCTTGGAGAGATTAGACCTACGGTACTGTCCGAAATTGGGGGCATTCATCTCCAATAATATGAGTAAGGAGATCACAAACTCTAAAGAAATTGAAGGGAAAGGCTCAAAGGATAATTTCCAAACTGATAAACCTTCATTTTTGACGAAAGGTGAAGCGTACCTCTGTTTCTCTTTATATCATCATTTCAATCTTTTCGTATTTGTCTTCGATAGAAATGGTTTCTGATCAAGCCAATGCGATGAATATGTATGCAGGTCGGATAATCTAGCTTTGACAGATCGTCCGTCTTTCGGCCTAACCAAGTTTCTCTGACAATACGCATTATTCAGACGAGGGTGAAACTGATAGACATGCGTGACTTGTTATCTGGTGTATAGATATATCTGCAGTATATTAGGAGCGTAAATCTTGTGTAAACATCGATGATATTATGTAAGCGTTCTTATGTGTGTATTATTTATTAACGTTTCTTGCGCTCCAAGACGTTTATATTTCCTTGTAAACAGGTTTAATGTAGGAAACGTCTTGTATAAACATTGTAATAACAGTCACTGTGACAGCTGAATTGCACTGTCACCTCTAAATCCCAAGTTTCTTGGTTTTGACGGGACGTTCGATTAAAAGAGTGAAGGAGAAGTAGAGAGTTGGTGGCCGTCAAACAGAGAGGAGGAAGTAGGGACGGTGAGGGAGGGGGAAAGGGAAAGCGGTGAGCAGTGTTAATATGGTGGACTCCATTGCCCCAAATTCACGGGGAAGAAGATGATGAACACTCAATCATCTTCTTCTTTTTTCTTTTTAAAGTTTTTAATTATAAAAAATAAAATTTGGTTTTTTATTAGAGTAAATTGTAATAATGGTCTTTCAACTTTAACTCAATTGGAGCAATGATTTCTCAATTAAAAATCTATTATCATTGGTCCCTCAACTAATCACAATGTGCAGTTATGATCCCTCAATTTTAATCCAACTAGAGAAATGATCCCTCAACTTTAACTCAATTGGAGAAATGATCCATCAACTTTAACCCAATTATAGCAATGATCATTCCAACATAGCTCATTTTGATATAATTATAACGAAATTGATGAAAATGAGCTACACGTTTTGATGAGTTGAGGGGATGATAATGAATTTTTAGTTGAGAGATCAATGCTCTAATTTGATTAAAGTTTAAATGACTACCAGAAGAAAATCAGAAAAATATGTAAAACAAGTTATTAATCTTCTCTACCTACGTTTTTTCTGTTGTGTTTGGCTCATACATTTGTGAGTAATTATAAGTCATGTGTTAACAACAATGAAGTGACCTATGTTTGCTTTCGGTGGAAATATCACATGGTGTGAGTTGCATGAAAGTTGCAGACAAAGTAAAAGCAAAAGTTTGGTGGACATCATCATGAGTAAAGACATAATGATGATGCTTGCTTTTGCTTTAATGATGATATTTGTCTTTTGCTTTAATGATGATGCAAGACAATGATGATGGCTATGATGGCTTGGTCTTATATTGAGAAGGCTTGCCGAGTTAGGGAGAGAGATAGAGCATTCGGCTCTCTCCTGAGAAGACATCAGAGAGCATCCAAAGGGTGAGAGCATTCGGCTCTCCTATGGGAAAGCATGGGCACGGGTGAGAGAAAATCAAGAGAGCTAGAGTGAAAAGTATTCTAGTGAAAGAACTCTTGGGGTAGAGTGAGGTTATTGGGAAAATTCTATGAGTGGGTGTGCAAGGGATTTGGGATTGGTTTATGTTGATTTAACTCATGTGTACTTGTATTGTTATTCTCATAGTGAAGAGCAATATCTCTCCGGGGACGTAGGCAGGTTTTTGCCGAACCTCGTAAATTTCTTGGTGTCTTTATTTCTTGTATTTTATTCTGTTCAACTGAGTGTGATTTTGGTGAGGTTGTAATCTGAATCTCATTTCCGCACTAATGAACGGACAAGGCACAACATTTTCCCCATCCTGCGGTCTGCTCAAACCAGTTGTGGCACTCACAGACCCTGGACTCCCTGGTGAAGAGAAAAATGCCCCAAGAACCTCTAGAAAGAACCTCTTATTTGGGACAATACCATCGTTTTCCATGGATTTCAGCAGTTTCTCTTGAAGCCCCTTGGTGTAAGCCTTGTATAAAAGTTTATACGTTGATACATTTGGGCGTACCCCAATACTATTTGCACTCGCAAAAAGCTTATCAGCTTCCATGGGCAAACCATTCATGCAGTAAACATCAAGCATTGCATTAAGCGTTGAAAACTTTAACTCCCTTCCAGATTCAGCCAACCTGTCAAATACCTCCCTAGCTTTTGAAACACAATCACAGAACCCATACATCATGACAAGACTCTCATATGTTATGAAGCTTGGCGTGTATTTCATGTCAGCCATCTTCTGCAATACATGTTCCGCTTCCTCCTTAAGCCTTGCCTTACCATAATTTATGATCATTGAATTAAATGTAGGGAGTGTTGGTTTCTCCTTGGAACGAAGTAAGCACTTAAATACCTGTTCCATCTTATCGAATTCTTGCTTCTTCCCATATGAATCAATCAGCAAATTAAGGGTGATGATGTCAGGCTTACACTGATTACTTTTCATGCGAGAAAGCACGGATTCCATTTCTCTGATATTTCCATTCTTCCCATATGCATCTATTACACCATTATACGTATAGATATCAGGGGAAGCAACGCTCTCATCAAGATCCTTAAACAAAGCATTAACTTTCCCTACATTTCGAGATTGTGCAAAAGCTCTCAAAAGAATGTTGTATGTCACAATGCTGGGTTGGCACAATTCCATTCCCTTCATTTTGTTAAAGTATCCGAGAGCTTTGTCCAAAGCCTTCGCTTCATCCTTGGAGTTAAGGTGGGCTGAGATGAGTGCATTGTAAACAGAAGTATCAGGCCGGCACCCACTATTATGCATCTCAGAGAAAAGCCACATTGCCATCCGAGTTTGGCCTTTCTTTCCCATTACCGAGATCAATTTTGAATACACGCCATTATCAGCAACATACCACCGCTGTCTTTGCATCCATCTGAAGACCTGAGTGTGACTTATATACGTGAAGCTATCTTCCATCCTATCACAATTGCTGGTAGAAAATACTCACACAGGAACTGACATGTCTTACATAAAATTAGCAGTATACCACTATCAAATGCACCGAAACGTAAAAAATAACTGTTCACATTACAGGCACATCGAACTCACACGATTTCGAAAAACCCATAAAATTCATGCCATAGCCATTATTTAAAATGTCAGATCGTGCACTCAAAATGCCTGCTGATCTCTAAAACATATACATTTCTCCTTGCATTCTATTACCCTATATAGTGTATCATGCACAATAACTATACATAACCAAATTCACATCTATCAACAGTGTTGGCATTTGCCTATTGTTTGTCAAGGTGAGTACAATTCTCTGCTGTTATTGTGTCTCAAAGAAATTTCTTTCATGATTCTGGTGGTCAACCAATAGATCGGTCGCCGATGAATTTCATTTTGATATTTGTTTCTTTCAGAAGCAGTCAAGCAACTTAAAAGTAATTTGAACATTGAAAATGGCCCAACGGCCTGGTTCAACAACTTTAGTTCTTCTTATATTAGTTAAAAGTTAATTTCATTTTGTTGGCTTAGTTATTTTGCTGCTATGCTCTATACGCGGATGTGTCTGTGTGAGTGTTATTTATCTTTTGCCCATACTGGTCCTATAATCATTGTGGTTATTGATTCTGATGGCTCTGGTTCTGGGGTTTAAAATTTGATTTTCTATAGTGATACTTTTTGTTTACAAACTCCGCCTGTGTAAGTTTATCTTACATTGCCGGTCCCAAGCCCGGATAAAGGAGGAGGGGGAGGGCGTCAGGTAGTCGACAGCCGGCACTCCATGATTACGTCGAATCCTTATGAAAATGAATCCAGAACGAAATCGCGCTAAAGCTAGGGCGTCACCCGTAAGTGGCGCGCTGTGTGGCCCGAGCACAGTGATAAGTGAGCAAGGGTCGCTGTATCTCCATCGGCACCCGGATGCAGTGTTAAATGAGCAAGGGGGCTATAGAAACTTCTTTTCGAACGACTCCACTCAAAGTTGTTTGGGAGCATATGCTCCTATCAACTTTACACGGGACACACAAAAGAAGTACTTTGATCCTATTAGACGGGGGAGGGTGAAGAAGCTAGGACAGAAGGGTAGAGTTCAAGAGAGCAAAATGCGTTTAGGAACGTGGAATATAGGAACCTTGACGGGAAAATCTATGGAAGTAGTGGAAGTTATGGTGAGGAGAAGGATAAATATTATGTGCCTACAAGAAACTAAGTGGGTTGGTCGTAAGGTAAAGGATCTAGAAAACTCAGGGTTTAAACTATGGTATTCGGGCACAAATAGAACGAGAAACGGTGTTAGCATCATCGTGGACAAGACCTTGACACAAGATGTTGTAGATGTCAAGAGGGTAGGAGATAGAATCATGACAATCAAGATTGTAATAGGACAAGAACTTATCAATGTGATTAGTGCGTACGCACCTCAAGTAGGGTTGGATACGAGTTCGAAGGAGAAATTTTTGGAAGACCTTGGAGACTTGGTGCAAGGAATTGCTCAGACGGAGAAGTTATTTATAGGAGGAGATTTAAATGGACACGTGGGCAGGGAGACAGGCAACTATGGAGGTTTTTATGGTGGCCATGGTTTTGGGGAGAGAAACGAGGATGGGGAAGCTATCTTGGATTTTGCAATGGCATATGATCTCTTCTTAGCCAACACATTCTTTAAGAAGATAGAAGAACATGTGATCACCTACAAGAGTGGGTCGTCAAAAACACAAATAGATTTTCTTCTAATGAGGAAAGGGGATCGTATAACTTGTAAGGATTGCAAAGTTATACCAGGAGAGAGCGTGGCTAATCAACATCGCTTGTTGGTGATGGATGTACATATCAAAAGAGTGAGAAAAAAGAACAAGAATTGGAAGTGCCCAAGGACTAGATGGTGGAATCTAAAAGAAGAAAAACAAGCCATTTTCAAAGAGAAAGTAATCACCCAGTGTGTGTGGGATAGAGAGGGGGAAGCTAACCAAATGTGGGATTCCATGGATAGTTGTATCCGAAAAGTAGCAAAAGAGGTATTAGGAGAGTCCAAGGGCTTTGCCCCGCACCAAAAGGAATCTTGGTGGTGGAATGAGGAGGTACAAACAAAGGTGAAGGCTAAGAAGGAATGTTGTAAAGCCTTATACAAGGATAGGACCGATGAAAATGGTGAAAGGTATAGAAAAGCGAAGCAAGAGGCGAAGAAAGCTGTGAGAGAAGCTAAGTTAGCGGCTTATGACGATATGTATAAGCGACTAGATACCAAAGAAGGAGAGTTGGATATCTATAAACTAGCTAGAGCAAGGGAAAAGAAGACAAGGGACCTAAACCAAGTGAGGTGCATCAAGGATGAGGATGGAAAGGTTCTTGCTACAGAGAACGCGGTTAAAGACAGATGGAAAGGTTATTTTCATAATCTTTTCAATGAAGGACATGAAAGGAGTGCTTCTTTAGGGGAGTTGAGTAACTCAGAAGAGTGTAGAAACTACTCTTTTTATCGTAGAATCCTGGAAGGAAGAAGTGGTTGTAGCTTTGAAGAAGATGAAGCATAGAAAAAGCAGTAGGCCCAGACGATATACCAATCGAAGTGTGGAAAGTTTTGGGAGAGACAGGTATAACATGGCTCACTGACCTTTTCAATAGGATTTTGAAAATGAAGAAGATGCCAAATGAGTGGCGAACGAGCACTTTGGTGCCTATCTACAAGAATAAGGGCGATGTACAAAATTGCATGAACTATAGGGGTATTAAGCTAATGAGTCATACAATGAAGCTCTGGGAGAGAGTTATTGAGCATAGATTGAGGCAAGAGACACGGGTTTCGGACAACCAATTCGGGTTCATGCCAGGGCGCTCAACCATGGAGGCAATCTATCTCTTACGAAGATTGATGGAAAGATATAGAGATGGGAAAAAGGATTTACACATGGTCTTTATAGATTTGGAAAAAAAGCGTATGATAGGGTCCCAAGAGACATTCTTTGGAGGATTTTAGAGAAGAAAGGAGTACGAGTAGCATATATCCAAGCTATACAGGATATGTATGAAGGAGCAAATACTGCCGTAAGAACTCATGAAGGACAAACCGAAAGCTTTCCCATAACTGTAGGATTACATCAAGGCTCATCCTTAAGTCCTTACCTTTTTGCGTTGGTAATGGATGAGTTAACAGGACATATTCAAGATGATATTCCTTGGTGTATGCTTTTCGCAGACGATATAGTGTTGATAGATGAAACTTAGGAAGGGGTAAATGCAAAGCTTAACCTTTGGAGAGAAGTGTTGGAATCTAAAGGTCTTCGCCTAAGCCGATCAAAGACAGAATATATGGAGTGCAAGTTCAGTGCAAATGGAGGCCAAAACGAGTTAGGGGTGAGGATCGGAGATCAAGAAATACCAAAGAGCGACCGTTTTCGTTACCTAGGATCTATCTTGCAAAAGAACGGAGAATTAGATGGAGATCTCAACCATAGAATACAAGCTGGATGGATGAAGTGGAAGAGTGCATCCGGCGTGTTGTGTGACCGCCGTATGCCACTGAAGCTAAAGGGAAAATTTTATAGGACGGCAATAAGGCCGGCGATGCTGTATGTGAAGGGAAAATTATGAGATTTCTAGAATGGGATTTCATAATGACTATCATGCATATTCAAATCAAATTTAATATACGAAAGCAGCGGAAGCATTTATAACATATTATCAAAGCTATAGTCATGCAAATCCCCTTCAAGGTTCATAGGTTTATATATAATGCATCAAAACATTTTAAAGAATCAAGAACAAAGTGAAGGTTAGTCTTATACCTCTTGATCTAGACTTGAGACCAAGGATGGACCACCTCCAAGCCTTTTGCTCCTTGAAATCCTTGAGCCTAGCTTCCCTCCTTGCCTCCTCCACTTTGTTACAATGAGTGCTCCTAGGTTCTCTTCAAGTTCCCAAAGTAGGAAACCTCTAAAGATCCTCACCCACTAGTGTAGTGAGAAGGATGAAGGAATAACCAAAAGGGTGTAAGAGATGTTAGTAAAAACCCCCTTTGGTGGCCGGCCTTTGTGTAGTTTAGAGAGCTATTTTTCTTTTGCCTCTTTGTTGTTTTAACACACAAAAACCCTAATGAACTTTATCTCTATAAAGTTGCTTATAAAGACAAAGAAACCTAGTCAACACTTGACTAAATATCTCACTCTTTTCACACCTAAAGTGGCCGGCCTCTTTGTTGTTTGTTTGGGCTTTGGGCTTTTATTATTTCAAGTCATCCAATGCTTGAATAAAAGCCCAATGGGTTTAGGCCCAATGGGCCCAATTAAACCCGAACGTTTCTTAAGCCCAAAACGATCTTTATCGCTTTTATGATTTCTTTAGACTTTCTAAATTAATCACAACAATTAATTAATCCAATTAATTATTTCCATCATCCATTAGTTACTCACTACAACAGTGTTGTGGTGAACAATCTTTTAGGTTCTAATTAGCAAGGCAATGAGGTGATTGGCATCAATCCAATTGCTTATATTTAATTCAATCACTTAGTGAATTAAAACCTCATTTTAATTCACCTTTCTTCTTTGATGACTACATTTAATCATCTAGAAGAACTCACAAGCTATGAGTGACATCTAACCATATGTCATAGCTACCCAAGCTAATGTAGAAGTTTATTCGAAGAACCTAGTCAGTTGGAATTACAATGTAATTCAATCCTTCTCTAATACAATACTCTCAATCACATCATTAGGGTATGGATATATCATGTCAAACCCCTAATGTGATTATTCCTTCTTATATGATCCAATTGAGTCGTATAGGAACGCTTTCCTTTATTACGCTCGATACTTCAGCCGAAGATTCCCGAATCATATCTTAGAGTATTCTTCCTCTCTTAT